TTTTCAGCCATTATCATGAGTCGACCATTAACTCAAACTCTTCTTACCAAATGTTGCAGTGTTTTACGAATTTGAAACCAAGAAAAGAATGGAAAGCAATTCAACTTGAAATTTTCAACAAACGAAACTTTCTCTTCATCACATTTCAACAAACCTAATGATGAAACAATTTTTGCCTCTTTTCTTTCACTCCATTCTGTTTCAGGTAAAAAAGCATTCTCCTCAAAATTCTTACCTTGAATTAATACCATTATTATTGTTATCATTATTACTGCTAATATCATTACATCAAGCACCATCAAACTCCAAGTGTAAAAAAATAACATTGATGTTTCAATTGCTTTTCATTGAACCAAATCTTGAATCAAATTTTTTCCTCTTGAAAACATTTTCCACTCTTTCATCTTTTTCAGTTCAATGATTAACATTTAAAAATTTGTTAATTCCTCAGAGTTTCCTGTTTTCCCATTCATGTCTGCCAATTGAAAGTCCAATTAATTAATCGTAATCAGGAAATGAGCCAAAGTCAGGCTAAAAAAGAATCCAAATTGATGGAGAAAAAAAAGAGAAATTTTGACAGAAAAGGAAAAAAAAGACTAAATTGAAACTTGTAATAATAATTGGATTCTCATGAGGATTTTTCGAGTCGAATTATTAATGATAAATTGGAATGAACAAGTAACATTAGACATTGAATGGTACGAGTTACAATCTTTCAGTTTTACACTCAAGTGTTCATCAAGGCCAACCAGTCAAGTATTATAAGTAATTTCATTGAATTACACTCAATTAGGAATCAATTTAATTTCATCAATCAACCTTTGAATCGTCGTTTGTTTTGCTGAGTAAACACTTGGATATGCATAAAGTTAAATGTAGCAAAGAGACGAAAAGCAAATGTCAAATTTGTGCAAACAACATTAAACAATTGGCTAATTTAAAATTACAATTTAAGAAGAAGAGAAAAGGAAGAAAACTGTTTAAACAAAATGAGTGAAGAGCAAAGTGTAATCGTTTAAAAACATGCTTACGTTAAGGTAATTTTAGTTTAATATACAGTTTACAGTTGAGCAGACATCTTCATCATGAACATCATCATCTTGTTTATCATATAAATGTATTGAATGTTCAAGAACAAGGCGAGAGAAATGGCAAGGTAAGGCTAAAATGGTAAACGAATCAAGTCTTTTAGCATTTCTCTTCTTCTTCCCTGTTGTTGCTTTTTCTTGTTTCCTCACTTTTCATCAACAAATTTACATTTGTAAGTCAACTTTGCAAAACGGGGAAAGAGGCCAAAGTAGGTAACAAAAAATAGCTTAAAGATGAAAAAGATGATGAAGGTAGAGAGAGAGAGACGAGAAAAAAAGAAAATTTTGGATCGATTTTAGGCTTTCCAATAGTTATCTAAAGGTTTGTTCCAGGGATCGATACAGGGAGTGATATTTGTTTCCACTCCCTGAGTGAGTGATATAGAGAAACTGATATTCAACTTGGAAATAGGAAACTCATCATAAGATAGAGAGTGAGTAGGAAATGAGAGAAACAGGCATGAGAAACATGAGTAACATGATGGATAAAATTGTTAAAACTGAAGCAACTTTGAACCAGGAAAAAAATGAATGATAAAAGCGTCTAAGTGAATCCATTAACAATTGCAAATATAAAAAAGCAAAAGGCAGAAAAAAAGGGGAAAATTTTACCTTCTTTCAAGAAGTAAAATGCAAAACAAAATGTTGAAACTTGAGCAACATTTTGGTCCATTACAATAATGAATATTATCAAGAATTAGGTGAAGCAAAAACAAGATTAAAAATGAGCTTTTCTTGACTCGACTGGATAAGCTAATAACAGCTCAACCCACACAAGAATCCAGAAAATCACAAAAGTCTAATAAGATTTTCTCATTTTGTCTTGTAACTTGTTATTCAATATCTTCAACATTTGCTGTTCAACTTGCTATTCACTCCCAATCAGCTTTTCAGCAAAGAAAAGTGTTAACATTTCGATTTTTGTTGCTGTTCTGTTATTCTTGCCATTAATCATCAAACTAATTGGACTTTGCAACATTGTTTGACCAGAAAGTGGAGAAAAATATTTTTTCATTAAAAACATTCGTCTCTTTAATAACCAACAAAATAATGATAAATTGCCTTTAGCCAAACGTTAACATTGTTTGCTTATCGACCATCATCTTGAATCTCAATTGATGTTTTTGTTGAACAAAATAATTATCAAATTCTCGGGCTCAGAACTTTCAGTGAAAAATAAGGAATTGCAATTTTTCCTCTTCATATTATCGTTATTAAACTGTCGAGATTAACTTGGTTTCTTTGTTCATTTTAATCCTCTTAGTTTGTTCACTCGCTCAATCCAATCAATTATTGAATACAAATGAGTTTATGAAACATTCAGCTTGCAATTGCTGAACCCTTTTGTTACAACTCATCTCTTTGCTGCTTTAATATTTGCTTCCAGTTTCAATTTCAAAAAGAATGTAAAAATTTGAATTCAATTTCCTTTTCAAATTGAAATATTGAATAGCATCATTTATCCATGCTCAATTTATTTTCATCAACGAATTACTTTCTTCTTCTTGCTTCTTTTTTCCTCTCAAATCAACCGATATCAAGGGAAATGATTCCATGGTAAATATCGTTTTGCCATGTAATAAGAACTCAACTGAAAAGTATTGAATGAAGAGGGAAAAAATAATGGCAAGGAAAGCGAGAAACAAAATGATGAAAAAAGTAAATAACTCAATCATCATTTATCATTTACTTTACCTTTTTTTATATCATCAACTGCTATAGCTTTCACTT